CGAAAGATACGATCGTGCTATTACAACTCTGAAAGAAAATCAACAAAAAATCGTCAAGGATGTCAATATACAAATTTCATTATCCAAACAATCAATCGGCCAATATTCGAAAGATATGGAAACAATTACTAATAATCAAAAGAAGATTTTCAATTATATTTCTGATAACAAAGCTTCTTTAGAAAACATTTTAGACCAGTTCTCAAAATATGCAGTTCATACAAATATGTTGGATCAAATATTTCTGAATGCCAATATATTCGTTACTCTCTTGGACAACATAGAAAATGCCATTACTTTTGCAAAACTACATATTATTCATCCAGATATATTGCCATTTCAAAACTTGAAAAACATACTAACTGAATTGAGATTTCATAATGATCACAATACGATACTAGATGTTAATTATCACACTTGGTATTCTATTATGCACACAAACTGTTACTTCACTAAGGCTAAGATCATTTTTGCCATAAAAATTCCAATAATTCCTTCGAAAACCTTTCAATATTTCCATTTATTTCCAATTCCAACCAATAATCAAACCTTAATTATCCCGAATAAACCTTATTTGGCTCTCGAACAAGAAAACTATCAGTACATGGACCATATCTGTACGAAAGTCGAAGACACCTTCCTTTGCGAGCAAGAAGAATTCAAGTTCAACCCTGTTGAAGACTGCATTTCCGCCCTCATCCAAGACAAGAGATCCCGATGTCTACAAATACCAGTAGAAATTCCATTATTGATATTCAATAAAGTAAATGAAGAGTATTTATTGATCATCAGCCGTGAAGAAATAAAGATTAAAACTCAATGCCCCGAAGAACAATTCCTCACCGTACAAGGCAACATTCTACTTCAGATTCCACTGAATTGCAGCGTCGAATACCAGTCAGTCAAATTCGAAAACAACCAGGCCACAAGTTTTGGTAGTCCCCTCGTATCACCAAAAATCATGAACGGTTTTACCCAAGTTGAAATAGTCCGGAGAAAACCACTCAGAATCGAAAACGTCCCATTAGAAGATATCCATCGGCTCCGGCAACACATCGAAGCAACCAATCAACTATCAATCGATGATTTCAATGACGACCAATCAATCAACTGGATGTTTTGGACTATAGTCGCAATAGCCATCCTCATATTGTTGACCTACATCACTCGCAGACCCCTGAAGTTGAAGAAGAAGCCCTCAGAAGCCCAAATCAAGATCGAAGATAATCATCAATCAGTTCGATCGCCTTCGGTCCTGTTCCAGCCCGAAGCCGTCTCTTAAGGGGGGAGGGGTTACATCGAACGGTCCCACGGTACCGAGCTAGGTACAACACTTCCCAGGCCGTTTCCCGGAAAGCAGCGAGATCAGCAGATTCATATTTCGTCTCTCAAGATCAACCGACATTATAAATACATGTGTAAATCATTTTTCCGACGATTTTGACCGTATACCTTGTCCAGATATCATAATAAACGTTTTTTAAAAAGTCTTTTGCCGGTTTTTCGAAAATAACTCGCTATATTATATATGCGATAAAACTGATCAGAATAATTTCAGTTGAATGTAGTGAGTAATGGCCCGGACGGAATTGAAATATTCATCTGAATTTTGTTCGATATTTTTCACCAATCCGTTCGAGGTGTGCCGTACAAATTGAAAAGATACAGTGTAGTGTTTTTTCTAATCTTTCTGATTCCTATGGAAGTTTTGAAAAATACGATTTAGGAAGTCGAAATTTTCACACTTGGAACTCCAAGTCCAGCTCTGGAATTCAACTTCCATAGTAGGTCATTGTGGGGAGTGTCAGTTGGGGTAAATTGCTGGTGAATTCCGAGTGAGAAAATCGAGACTTTGCTGAAATATCGTTCATCGATGTTTCACTCTGAATTCAAATAATGCCCTATATTTCTGTTACGAATAGGCAGAATATATTTCCTCACATATATATCAACTCACCTTGACCACCTCTATATGCCATCGGGCTATTGCTGGTTAATCATGACTCACCCTGTATGGTGTTGATGCTATTCGGGATGAAGGATGCCCCTACATAGTTTCTCCACAATGTTTTCATTACTCGATGCAAAATGTGATCACTTATGACGGATTTGACGATAGAGATTCAATATTTTTGGAATTTCAAACGCAGGCTGGAATGAAGAAGAATTACCTCTCTTGATTTATTAAGAAGCACACATCTTTGCTTACTGAATGATATTCAAAATTATCCACTTTCAGGGATTTGGAAATCTTGCCGAAATAATATTTCAGTTTTGATAACAATTTCTTCTTATACAAAATAGGTATGGATTGATTTTGATACATTTAGATGATACAACGATTTGACCAGAACCAATTAGGATAGACCGATCAACTAGAAGATTCAGGGGTATTATTCGTCGATAAATAAAGTTCAAAAGAGAAAGATATTGCCAAAAAAATTTTTCTTCGAAAATCTGGAACTCTGACCTTGCTTTTAGAAATGATTGTAGACAATTATCAATCTCCGAAATGCCCACTTTATGCTCAATGGATATATGTAATGATATATAGGGTGTTCCAATTAAAACAACATATAATTGCTTCATAACTAAAAGAGGAAGGTGCTAGCAAAAATAGCTACGCCACTGGATAATACGAGTAGAACTCTATAAGAGCAAGTTTCGACTTCTTCGATGAGTACAAAGATAACTGAGACACATATGGTGCCTGAAAAGTGATATTCTTCTATTCCACCCTGTATCTCGACAACAGGAAGAAGTATCACCATCATCAATTTTATAAAAAAGTAGCAGACTAATGCGATAACCGCGATGCAAACATATATTTCAATATATGATTCCTCTATAATTATAGTTTTGTGATGATAGTGGACACAGACATTGTGGAAACAAAAACTGATGAGACATTGCTGCTCAACCAAATAAGATGACACATTAGTGTGTCTAAGGGAAGAAGTTTCCTGATCTCAAAACAGCTTGATCATTTGAATGTTTGATTTGATTGTTTGTACCCTACACAGATATAATATTTCATTCAAGAGTCAACATTTGCCGACTTGGATTGGTTGCAATGTTTTGTGACAAAATATTCGAGATGACATGCAATCATATAGACCCCACAGACCCTTATGTGCTTATATTCCTCATATTCCAGCTGAAATTCTAGCTGAAATTTTGTAATTGCGATAGGTCTAGTTAATATCTCATCAATATTATTCATAGAGAATGGTGGTTCCAAAGATATTGAATTCTTGTATCGATGAAAATGAATGAGCGGATCGATTAGAGCCTTCTGTGACGTGGTTTATGAACAGGGTGAGATAAGATTGAACCACAAACTTTGATTCTCTCCTGATATGAAGAAAGTTTCAATCACCGTATATGCATCGTATTCGAGTATACCCAGAGTAGTATCTCCACGAATATTATCAAGTTTTTCTTCAGGCGATGATAGGAACAAATCCATGGAAATGCAGTTGAAAGGCTACATTTCGACATCAAACATTCGTATTATTCTCTTGTTCGTATAAGAAGTTCTCGAAAATATACTTGAGAGTCTTCGTTGATTACCCGTTATGAAAATTATTTGTATAATAATATTATAGAGTCAACAGAGTACGTGACAACCTATTCTAATTATTTCATTCCATTCTCCTAATTTTCACAACATTCGAATACAGATAATAATGAACACACATTGGTTTTTGTCATTCATGATATGGAGAATAGAACGAAACAAGTAATTTCCGGATGGTTCAAAAGGAAATTGGATGCAGTGAGATGAGCTGGAAGTTGAAAATAATAGCAGTCTGTCACTGATCCGATGATAAATCTTCGATTCTAATCCCTATAAACATAAGCTGATTTTAAATTCAATCTGGTGTTCATTGCATGGCCGTCAATAAATGCATAACCTGTTGATATTGATTGTACTTTCGCAAGAGGGTGATTCGTTAGGTCGTTTCATAAAATTCATGAACATAATGAGGTGTGGAGTTGCTTTGTTCCTGAAAAACAGGTTGAGTTGAATTTATTTACTAGTTCGAGAATGAAGGAGTAAGAGAGTGATTAGCAAGTTTTACACAAATAGGCGAGATAATTCATTGTTATTGATGAAACATATTTTTTTCCTATGTTCATGACATGCAATGAAGAATTTGATTTTCTTTCTGATAAGCAAATCAAAATATCAAGAACAAACGTAATAGACTAGAGAGTCCAATCAGATCGGTTCGAAGATACTCATGATACTAACTCATATGAACTCATTATATAAATTCAGCGCCCTACATGGAGTCAAGAGTGTGTTCTTCTTCGATATAAGACAAACCGTTAGATGAATAGAGAACATTCAAATTGAAGAATCATAGGGTGTTATGATAACTATCACTTTGAATTATTTTTATTTCCATTGGATGTTTGGATTCTCTGATATTGGCGATATCGGCTGATAATTATTCTCGAAAGGGTGTATCTGAATAACATCAGAAAAGGTCAAGCGGTTATTTCTTGTGATATTATAGGAAATAAAGTACATATTATGAACATGTGTCCTAACTTGCTTCGTTTTCGAAATACCGGCTATTAGTTCTGGGGCATACGTAATTCCGTGGGATTTTGAATGAAGCAAGTGTAAGATTGGTGGCAATGGATAGGTAATGAGCTATAGAATCGTGTACTACCGGGTGTTTTGCCTCAAAGTCTGACCGAGCGGGTGTATGACGTCATACTTCAAAGATGGCTGCCAACTCTGACATTCGACTCTTTAAAGCTCTCTATCTTGTTTATTCCTGTTTTTATGAAGATTCTGTAAAAACATTTTTTATTCGTAATAAAAAAAGGAACAAAAAATGTTATGACAAAAATTTTCATAACTATCACTAATTCATAGATAATGGGAGATAAAAAAACTTTGACTCTGTTTTATTGATTTGAAATAGGTTTTATATTTTAACAAATTATTGTGAGAATTCTGATTAGTTTTTTGTCTGTTTCAGGTTGAATGTACACTAATTGAAATGTCTTCACATCAAAAAATCGACACCGTTTTGAAATTGGAACTTCCACCTTCAGCAAGGATAAAAAAGAAGATCACAGACTTTTCCTTGTGTATTTTGTGTCAAGAAAAGAAGAATATCCCATTAGTGGCTCCTAAATCGTATGATAAAGCAATAGAGTGTATTAAAAAGAGAGCGGAATGGGACGAAATGGAATATGTGAATATTCTATGCCAGCTCAGCAGCATGAGCAGTTTTTCTTCTGAAAGTCTTCAAAACAAGAATGCTAAATGGCATTCTGACTGCTATAAAAAATGTACACACAAGGCAAACATGGGAAGAAGTGAAAGATTGTACCAGCAGCGACTACTTGAGCCATTGCCTTCAACCTCTAACTGTGAAGAAAAATCACGAAACTTTATTTTAAGGTCAGAATTACCATTATATGAAAGGGACAAGTGTATTTTCTGTGACAAAACGGGTTCCAAAAAGGATCAGCTACGTAAAATAGCAACTGATTCAGCAGGAATTCGTTTAAAAAAAGCCATAGAAATGTCACACAGGGAAGATTTGAAGATTCGCCTTAGTGATTGTTCTGATCCTTTAGACTGTCACGCACGAGATATTTCCTACCACAAGATGTGCTGGAATACACATGTTGTTAATATATTAAGACCAAAGCCAAGTGACCCATTGACGTCAACTTGTTTTGAGGGAACAAACGTTGAGTTTGTAGCTTCCCTCAGGGATTTTCTTCTCGATGGCAATGTGACGACAATGGGTGAAATTGAAAATTTCTACCAGAGAATCGCTTCCGACAATGGCCTTCTGGCAGAACAAAGGTTGTCTAGGAAACAACTCAAGCTTTTCATAGAGGAAGAACTAGAATATCTTGGCATTGTATTTAGTAAGCCAAAAAGGGTAAACGAGCCACAACGGATATCACTAAAAGTATCAGCAGATGTTGCGTTGGCAATCACCGAAGAAGAATACAAGGATGCTGAGCACGATATGAAAATTCTTCATAAAGCATCAAACATTTTACGGAAGGCAGTTCTAAAGTGCGAGAAATGGACCTTCACTGGTAGTTTTGATGACGTTAATGTAGAAGAAGTTGTTCCAGAAGAAGTTAGTATTTTCTTCAAGTGGTGTTGTCAAGGGCAGATAGACGTCAACAGTTCTTCACAAAATCGTGATGTTAATATCACAAAAACTGCTCTAAAATTATCACAAATTTTTATGTTTGAAATGCTTTCGCCAAGGCAAGCTTCTAACGTAACTGCAATTACCAGTAGACATACCCGTCAATTACCGTTGCAAGTGGCAGTTGGGCTAACTATGCATACTTCTACGCGCAGTAAATTTATTATTCAAATGTTACACAGAATTGGTGCATCCATAGATTATTCGAAAGTTCTTCGGCTCGAAACAGAAATTGCAGCAGAAGTTATACGTCGCACTGAAGAAAGTGGAGGAGTTTATATTCCAGCGGATTTGGTGAAAGGGAGGTTTGTGTATTGTGCTGCGGACAATGTTGACTTCCAAGAGGATACTCCATATGGCAAAGGAACGTTGCATGGTACAGTCATGGTTATTTATCAAGCAAAGGAGACATCAGACGTTACGAACCCAATAGAAATATCAGGAAAATCCTCACTTCGTTCTCTACAAAATATTCCCCAGTTTGTTTCTGAAACTATCAGAGGTAGCATTCCTAAGGGATACAGGCCAAAAAACCCTGTGCTTAATCGGGAAACAGCTACTACCGGGAGAAGTGTGACCGATTTGTGGTCGTATAAAAATGAAGATCTCATTTGGATGATAGCACATACTTCTTCATTATCACCCTATGTAGATTCGGACGTGAACGAATATCAAGACACAAATTGTATTCTTTCAAACCAAGAACAGGAGACACCAACGAATAACTTGAAGTTTACGAATGCAGTTCCGGTTTGGTCAGCCTTCAATTCAATAACAAGTGAAAAACCAAGGAAAGAAACGAGAATATGTGTACTGCCCCTCATAGATTCTAGTCCAACCAAAGTAGAAACACAGCTCAGTCTCATGAATAAGTTGGAAAAAGTAACGTCTAATATTACGCCCGGCAAAAAAACTGTTGTGACTTTGGATTTAGGATTGTACAGACCTATATTGAAGTTATCTATGGCGAAGAAAGATATATCGAAAAACTGGATTCTTAGGCCAGGAGAGCTACACATAGTTATGGCAATGCTTCGCTGCATTGGAAAATTTATAGACGGCACAGGTTTAGAAACTACGCTAACCGTACTGTATGATGAAACTGTTGTTTCTCAAATTTTGTCTGGGAAGTGTGTACGAAGGGCAATCAATGCCCATACATCTTTAAGACTAGCACTTTTCAAGTGTGTCTTCGACGAGTTTGTGAAAGATAACAGTGTTATAGAAGAAAATATTGAGCCACAATTGAACAAGTTACTAAAGGATCTACAAGGAGAGGATATAGAGGCAATCAAAACTACTCATTTTGAAGTGATGAAGGTTATGGAAAATAATAATGTCTTGAACAAACTGGAGTCTTTCCAAGCTAGTCAAGCCAATGAAAAACCAACATTTCAAGTTTTACTTCAATATATGACAATGGTTGATACAATGCTTCTATTTATTAGATCTGTCCGAACTGGAAACTGGGCATTGCATTTGTCATCATTAGAAGAGTTCGTGAAGTACTTCTTTGCCCTAGATTTATTGAATTATGCAAGTATGTTAGCTTGGTATTTGGCAGAAATGAATCAGCTCGAAACAAAAGATCCTTATTTGTGGAGTGAGTTGAGTAGTGGTGGTTGGGTTGTCAACAAAACGAAGATACCTTTTTGTTCATTAGGAACAGATGAAGCCCTCGAACAAGAAAACAGAGCAATGAAAGTACTTGGAGGAGTGGTTAATATCACTCAAAGAAAACCTGCTTTAACACGTTTTTTCTTAGCTTCTCCAGAACTTTGTAAAATAGCAACTGGAGCTAAAGAGATGTTGGGTATGACAGATGAGAAAAGGTCGAAACACCATCATCTCACAGCAGGCGGAGCGTCTCGCCAACATAAAGATGCTCAAATGATTTATGACTGTATCATGGCAATGACAAATCCTGTAACTTATGAAGGAAAAGAACTAATTAATATCTGCACAAAGGTGGTTTTCACAGAAAGTATCCAGAACGACACAACGAGAATGTCTGAGAAAGGACTTCAGATGTACAGCATTTTCAAACAAGAAAGGATAGAATCAGATACATCTAATCTATGGGCACCAATGACAAAAGCAAATCTTTATTTGTGTAGTAAGGCCAACAAAGTTGTATCGACGAAAGTTTCGGATAGTGTAATACAGTTGAAGGCAGATCGTTCTCTTTTCACTAGATTGCTAATTGTTTCAAGAAGTCGACCAGACATCGATTTGCAGCAATGTCTCAGTGATTATGAGTTTTCTGCTGTTCCCCGATCAATGTTTAATTAAGACGGATCAATGATTTTCACTTCCAACAAAAGCAACTTGATGAAAATTCTCGAGGGCCTGGTAACATCAAACTCTGACGATATGACTCAACAAACTTCATCTTCATCCAATGAAGCAGCAACTCAGTCAAACCAATCCAATTCCACACAACATTCTGTAGCAGTTATTGATGGCATGGCAGAGGTGCAAGGTCTGCAAAAAGATGCGAGTGTCAAGACGTGTTTGGATCTTTCAAAGGAGTTCATCAAGAAGATTGATCGCTATCTGACGAAATACGACGAAACTCACCTAGTATTTGACACGTACGTCGAAATGTCACTGAAGAATTCAATAAGAAAGAAGAGGGCTGGTCGAGTACGGCCTGTTCAATATAAAATCACAGACTCTACAAATATAAGGAAAGTAACTTTGAAATCTTTACTGTCTCATCAAAGGACTAAAGATGAGTTGACAGCTTACTTCGCTCAGAAAGCACTTGTACATGCACAAGAAATTGAGAAGAATATAGTTGTTAGTTGGAGGAACGAGGCAAAATCTTCGCTTGGAACTGATGTTTCACAACTTGCAAGTAGTCACGAGGAAGCTGACACAAAAATCATTTTACATTGTTTAAATGTAACGGTTCGTGCTTCTGCTTTACACATATTTTCACCAGATACAGACGTGTTTGTTCTGTTATTGTGGTGGTCACAGTTGCTCCCACTAAACTGTGTATTTGTAACCGGGACTGGAGCTAATAGGAGGTCAATAGAACTCAATCGTGTATACTCTTCCCTGAATCCCAAGCAAGTTTACGCATTATTAGGACTGCATGCACTCTCTGGGTGTGATACAACAGGTTGTTTGAAGAATAAAGGCAAACAATCTTTCTGGAAAGTTTTCGAATCTTTGGAAGAACATATTCTACAGGCACTCGGAAGATTAGGATGCCCAGAAATGTTTACACCTGAAGATGAAAAATTGATAGAAAAGTTCATTTGCCGCGTGTATTTCCAAGGCAAACAATTTTCAGACATCGGTAAACTCCGGTGGTGGCTATTCACCAAAAAAGATATTCAAAGTGAAAACTTGCCGCCAACAAGGCCAGTATTACACCAACACATCTTGAGAACTCACTATCAAGTGATGGAGTGGCGACGGGCTAACCTTCCACACCCAGATCTCCCTGACCCGTCCAATTTTGGATGGGAAAAGAGGGAAAATGAATATTTTCCTATTATGACTGATATTCCATGCGCCCCAGAAGTTATTTTACAATTGGTACGTTGCGGTTGTGATAAAGGACGATGTGCTGTCAATTGTAAATGCCGGACTCAATCACTTAGATGTACAGAGCTGTGCAAATGTAGTGGACAGGAAGATCAATGTGATAACAATGAAAATGACATTCGAATGCAACTGTCGGACTGCTCAGATGATGACTCATAAGTCAAAATTATCATGTTAACTATCATATATTTCCTCACATAGTAAATTGTGCAATGATAATGAGGGTTTTGTTGTATTTTTCAAGTATTAAAATTTTTTTGAGTTTATAACCCAAAAAATGTACTGATTTTAATTTATGTCTAATTAGGATGCATATATTTTATAAACAGTAGGAGAATGAGAATTTGTATATTACATTTTATGTTCCTTCTCTTATTATGAATAAAAAATTTCCCCTACTAAATCTTCGTAATATTAGGCATAAAAAAGTTAGAGCGCTAGAAAGGGTCGAATGTCGGCGTTGGAGGCCATTGAAGTATGACGTCATACACCGGCTCGGTCACACTTTGAGGCAAAACACCCGGTAGTAAACGATTCTATAGCTCATTACCTATCGATTGCCACCAATATTACACTTGCTTCATTCAAAATCTCACGGACTTTTTATATTTACAAATGCCCCTGCACTATATCAATATTTCCATGAGAAATTGTTTTTTTATTCATTACTCAATTGTCTTCTCATCAATTTCAATAAAACGCTGTGGTTTTGTTGAAAGTGATAGTGATAGCACCTTCTCGTGGTGCAATTAGATTCGGAATAATAATTCCAGTGGCGTCACAGTAGGTAATATTATCGATATTTATGGTGTATGTCATTGTATGCCACGGGTTCTTCTGAGTTTCATATCATTATTGAATTGAAGTATTGAAATAACAACTTCTTCATTCTTTGTATGATATGAGTTTCGAACTTTGTTCTTGGGGAAACTATGAGAATTCGATGTGACTCCAAATTTCAATGTAGGTGTTCAAGACTTTCATTGAGATTACTCAATAACCCCAATTTTTTTTTCATGTTCTGGTTCCCACGGGAAGGGATATTCTGAATTGTTCAGAGAACATTGTGAGAATCAAGATAAATATGGAAGGTATTGGTGTTCTTGAATTCCTGGAGGTTATATGCCTCGGGAAACACTTCCCTTGGCAATGTGTTTTATAGCCTCGCTGGTCGTTGAATAAACGAGTCTTTGGGAAGAGATGTTCTGCAGGTCTCCAAAGTGACCACGAAGGGGTGCGAAGCCTCAACTCGACGGGTTGATCTTGCGGGGACTGCCAAGGGTGGATCAATTGTTGATATTTCAGAAGAGCCTCGTCCATGGAAATATTTATAAAAAAGAGCCAGATTGCGGTGTTCCAAATGAGTGAGTGAGTTTGTGAGCGAGGCGTCACACATAAAACGAATTACCCTTGTTCGGACAGAATCCAACAGTTTCAGGGGAGTTGTGAATAGAAACAATCGATACTTCAAACTTCATCATCCTGGATTCTCAAAACGGAGCAAGTTAGGACACATGTTTACATACACTTTATTTGTTAAAATATCACGAAGAATTCTTTTGGAGATTTTTAGATACAACCTGTATATTGTCATGTAGTGAATTCTGATCGAAATTTCATTTATTTGAATTCGAACAGAATCATTCTCAATAAGAAATAGCCCAAGTAACATTTTAAATGTTTAATAGCTTCGATGAGACTTTAAAGGGGTTATGTGAGCGCAAATGATAGGTCTCATTTGTTCTACCGTTTTATAAATGCCCTGGAAAAAGCATATTGGCCTCCATGTCCATATAATCCTATTAAAAGGCTTTGAGATATTATGATAGAATTATCGCATAAAACAATTTGGCCTTCAGCTCACTTCGGTTTTAAGAGAGCTCTGTGAGAGTCATTGAAATCCTTTATCAAAACTATCCACTCTTAACAACCCTCTTAAAACTCTTAAGTTTCATTAGTGTCTCGAATTTGACCAAGAGGTTCTGAACTAATCCTATGAAAATAAGGCATAAAGCAATCATAAAACCAAATTTACACTAGGCCAATTAGGATTTGACTGAGGCAATAATGAAACCTATTGGCATTATTCTAGCTATGTGAAAGTAATTATTAAAACCTATAAGTCACTATGAATTCATCGAAGTCAATCATAAAATCTATAGAATTCATGAAGTTTTATTCAGAACCGTGTTAAACCCAAATCCCATAATGTAAATGTTAGTATTTTTTTGTCCTTCAAACGACTCACGTTGAAATGGACTCACAAGAAAATGAATAGTGTGAAATCAAGAGAAATGGCAACTTCAAGCGAAAAAATGGAGAGAATTACTCAAGAATAAAAAATCGAGTCGTGAGAACAACAGTAAATCAGAATTGTCAAGCCCAAGCAATTCCAAACACTGCGTCTTTCAATTCATACCACCTGAATCCACCAAATAGCAAGAATTCATTAGGACCTGATGTTCATGAAGAACGATCAACGAGTCACGTAATGGGGAATACTTCTGATCATCGTGCTTCTGAATGGGAACTAGGAAGCGAGAAAGTTGACAACAGTTTTGCACAAATTATGTCAGATGGCGAGTAGAGCATGCATTTGAGAGAATAGAGAAATCAACACAATATCAGGCGAATTGCACTAGGTGTGATTTGTCTATGATTCCTACTCGGTTTCCTACTTTGAACCAATCACAAAATTCACAAAGTGAACACTGTAAACAGCAAGAGTAGGATTATGTTAATCATGCTGATGACGTTCTTCTACACTTTACAACACTGCCAATGAGCACTAGCCAGGATATTCTTAAAGCTTTATAGTTTCATGAAGGCATTTTCTTATAACCTTCTTGAATCAATCTTATCATTTTCGAAGCTTTGTTGTCATACCCAGGAGCAAATAGTTATAAGAATGGATTTGAATATGCAATAAGTACTTCAACAGGAGGAAATCGTCACATAAAATTCCTTATCATTACCTAAAGGTTTTAATCAAGCATTAGAAAAAGAAAATTGGCTTTAAGTATATTTTGCGCCATATTTACTACGGACAGATGTCGGCCATTGGTGGAAATGAAGATTCCAAGCGGAAAATAGAAAAGATGCATTGATACTGCCGTCGAAAATGTTGTTTTTACACATTTTTCAATCGACTCACCCATATTCAGCAAACATTCACACAGTTTTGTCAACTTCTTTGAAAAGTTATTAAAATTCACATCCAATTCTAACTGGTAAAAACACATTATTTATAGGGCGCTGCTTTTTTTCGTCAAAAAAGTCGTCATCGTTTTCATTTTACAGCCTCAATCTTCACAAAAAGCTTTTTGTTGATCGTTGATCGTTCTTCATGAACATCAGGTCCTAATGAATTCTTGCTATTTGGTGGATTCAGGTGGTATGAATTGAAAGACGCAGTGTTTGGAATTGCTTGGGCTTGACAATTCTGATTTACTGTTGTTCTCACGACTCGATTTTTTATTCTTAAGTAATTCTCTCCATTTTTTCGCTTGAAGTTGCCATTTCTCTTGATTTCACACTATTCATTTTCTTGTGAGTCCATTTCAACGTGAGTCGTTTGAAGGACAAAAAAATACTAACATTTACATTATGGGATTTGGGTTTAACACGGTTCTGAATAAAACTTCATGAATCCTATAGATTTTATGATTGACTTCGATGAATTCATAGTGACTTATAGGTTTTAATGATTACTTTCACATAGCTAGAATAAT